TGGGAGCATCTGCATAATTTTTTGAAAAAGGCTCATACAAAGATTTCCTTCCAAGAGAATTTAAACTAGATCTATACATATATACATAGATATATGTGGTATTGGCTCAAGCCAGTCACCTTACAGTATTTTTTGAAGTGTTTTCCATGCAGCAACTGTCCACAGAGAGGAACAAAATGAGTGGCAAGGGACAGGCACAGGAAAGGGCAGGACTGTGAGACACACATCCTCCAACAGGCACACTCCAAGTTTAACAGCATGAAGGCAAGGAGAGGGACAGCAGGATACAGCAAAGGATGTGCTGGGGCCAGGAAATGAGAAAATAATCCACAGCGCTCAACACTGACTTATGGGATATTTTACCAACAAAAACATGCAGGAGCATTTTATTATTTTTTTTAATGTCTGGCTCCCAGCTCAGCCAGGCCAGGGAGATTGTCCCAGTATGAGAAGGGAAATGACAGAGAAACTGGATGCTAGATCACTCTGCAGAGCAGAGCACGGCGTTTCACCTATTTCCATTGCTCTCGCGTGGTTCCCAAATTAGAAACAATCAGAACCCTGCTGGAAACAATATATGGCACCTTAATTGGGTTGGCTGCACCACAGACGTCAGCAATGTATCACTTAGTAGATCATTTTCTGACTGCTGCCTTTTTTTTTTTTCTTTAAAACTAAAAATAGCTGCACTTTCATGGTTCACCTTTTCTGCATCACCTTTACTACAGACACCGTAAGAAATTAAATGTTAGCACTCCTTGCCCACTGAACATCCTACAGGACCCACACCTGGTGCAGGCAGGATGTGTCACCTAATTCAGCAGAATTTACTTAAAGGTTTGTCTCAGAAGTGTTGCTTTTACACAGAACCTGTTTTCTAAAACATCTCCCCCTAGTACACCCATCAATGCATCTACTTAAAAGCCTGGAACAGTTCACTTATCTCTAAATACATCAGCAACCCAGTGCTCCACACATTCCAGGCACTCCAGAATCCCTGCACGGGACTTGGGAGCTCACATGAAAAATCTTCCCCAGTTTTCATCCCCCAGAGTTACACCCCCCACTATTCCCTACCAAATCCACGCTGCAGCCAAACTGCATTCCTGAGAAATTCTTCCAAGAATGAAATATCACCTTTTTCCTCATAAACCCTGGAAGCTTGGACTAATCCTTACACACACAGCATAAACAAGTTAAGCAATGGGAATACAGAAACCAAGAATAATTCTGAAGCACAATGGGGGAATAATTATAGCAAACACAGAACATATACAAAATGAGTGGGGAGGTGTGGAGTGACACTAAGATAGAATGTGCTGAAATAAGGAAAAGGGATCTTTTCTAATTTCCTACAGGATCTATGAGGTTGGATCAGCCATAAGCTATAGCTGCTGGCTTTTTAAGTGTTCATTTAAATCAAATTATTAAAAACCCAGGAACCAGCAGCAGATGAACACAGAGGTCTCTGTCAGCTCCTGGTGTAGGACAAGCTATGCCCTGCTTGGACAGTAAAATCAGCTTTTGAAAGAGTACAACCCCTTGGAAAAATATCTTTGGGTAAAGTTCAGAACAACTTTTCTGGATGTCAGCCAGCAGAATGCCTGTTCAGGAGCTCTGTTCCTCAATCGGTATTTGGAAAGCTTTTTTTTTCTTGAAAGAAGAAAGATTAATAATGTGACAAACTCATTTTAGCATTCACAGTCAAAGTAACAATCTGTAATTAAAAGAATAAAATGTTCCAAGATCTATGTGGTAAAAGATTTCAACACGAGTCACAAAATACAATGGGAAAATGGGAATGTGGCATACCACACAAGGAATAAAAAATTCAATTACTCACTTCACTTCCTAGTTTGAGAACGTTTTAAATTGTTTAAACATCTCAAATGCTGAAAATTGGAAAGGGTGGGGTGATAGACTCATTACAGATGAAGAAAACTGTGAAACTTTTACTCATTCTCAGGGGAATCTTACCCCAAAACCAGCCTCTGAAAAATGAGTACACTACTACACAACAGAGTGACCTGTTACTCACCTGCTGGGTGTAGCATTTCAGTGAACTGCATGTTCTTAAAGCAATTATTTAAAAGTGCTGATCATCTGTTAAATAACTCAAACAAATCTGTGGCTATGTCCTGGCTGGTGCATTTAGCAACTCCATAAATCCCAGAATCCTGCAAGTCACTTCATAAATCTGTGACTCTCCTCTCACTGTTGCCTCACCAAAGATGAGTGAGCCAGGAATATACAGGATATAAAATGTTTTGGTGATAGAGGTTTTTTGGGGTGAGGCCAGCCAGGGCAAAACTCAAAATTTTCTATTTCTTCCTCTCCCCATCTCTGTGTGCTGGCCAGTAACAAGTCATGGTCAAAAATGAAGAAGAGTGAAAAATGAATGGACAAACCAACGTGAAAAAGTAAAATATTGCACTGGAAGCACTGATAAAAGTTTCTATCCCACATCCAGGCGTTTCTGCAAGCTGAGGCTCCTGCACATTGCATGAGCTTCTGGGAAATAGAGATAGATACTTCAGTCCTTGACAAAAATCCTCACTTCTCTTGATCTGGCAACAATTCCCAGAAGCAAGCACAGATACAAAAGCTTATCTATCAGAGGACAACTTGAAACAAATACAAATAAGGCTTAAATGAAGGCAAATATCCAAGCTGCAGAGAACACAACGGTTCCTTAATTTCACATTTGGAGAAAAAACAATACTATGTGGACATTCTCCAACATATTTTTAATGCTATTAACAGAAATAGCACCCCAGGCTGTGCTCAAGCTGAAAACGTGTGAAACTGTTTGCAATGTGAAGTGAAAAGGGGGATCAAAAAATACCATCTTATTAAATGGCATTTATTTGGTGCTAAGTGAATTATTTATTCAATTGAGAAGTTCACAAAATGACAGGGGGGTAAATGCAAGCGAGGTCACTACTTCATGTCAGAATCAAAGCTGATCCTTAACAGAATTTAAGCACCTGCTTTTTCTTTTATCTCAGCACAAAATGAGATTTCTTTCTTTTTTTTTTTTTTTTACACTTCAAAAGCTATGTAACACAACAGAATATATGCCAAGCATGCAAAAACAGAGCATGCCAGCATCTTTCAGCAATCAGCTTTCCCTTGTCATCCATTATGTCAGATTTATCTATTTTTGCTTAATTCTTGCTCCAGCAATACGCATCCTTCCTCTCCCCAGACTATCAGGCTGGTTGGGCTGGAATTCAATACAGCTTCTTAAAATAGTTGAGAAATATTGAAAATATTTGAAGCGATGCCTGCGAATTACAGCCAATTCATCAACTCCTCTTCCAGCTCCTGCCCGACCTGTGCTCCCCCAGACAAGGGGCAATTCTCATTTCTTCACCTCAGAAATTCTACCCCGTGTAAATATCATTTGGAAAACAAATAGCCTTTCTTTTATGGAAGCATTTCTCCATGAAAGCTTAGATCCTGTGTTAATTGCAAACCTTACCCTCTGACTCTTACTCGCTTTTGATCCAAGCATTCCTCTGCTGAAAATTAATAGTGAATGCGTTTGCATTAAGCTTGCTTTCTGTTATCACTGCTTTTCCCCTCCAACTTTCCAGACCCTCTGGACTGGCTTTACAGGACACCAGACCCCCCTAAAAGCTCTCCCTGAACCCTTCACTCTGCTGCTGGCTGCAAAACTCTGCTCTCCCCACCTCCAACACCTGTAAGACCCTTGAACAGCATCTTTCCCTACTGTTAAATGAACAGACTCTAACAAGCTCAAATTCTTAAAAAGCCCTGATCAGAAAGAAAGAGGCTGAAAGGAAAATGCAACTCTCATCACTCTATTCCCTCACTGCCTGTGGAGCACAGAATTTTCTCAGCCCGGCTGCTGAATCAGACGAAGTTTCCACAGTGCACACACACACACACACACACACACAATCACACAGCCCCAACACGTCCAGGAGGATTTATTCCATCACAAAGTCACCACCGTTGCTCCAGCACAAATGACATCACTTAGGAACCCAACCTTATCTCCTGAGAGCTCCCAGCTCCCTCCTCTCCCGCAGCGACCGGAGCAACAAAGAACCGGGTTTGTGCAATAAGGAGGAAAAAAAGTATTGCTGCAAAAAAAGTTTTCCAGAAAAACTTGCATTTTCTTGAGAATGCGACTAGGGAGAAATAAAGGACTGCAGGAAGAAGTGAGCAGAACAAATTCCGGTTGAACTTATCAACCTGCATCTGTGATTTATCCTAAACTTGTACCTAGAGCTACCAGGGGAGGGTGAGAGACGTCTGAGCCCTCGCAGGTGCTGGTCGGGGAGGTTCACACGCTGCAGAACCAAAACCATCTCAGCACTTTGCTGCACGAGTGCACTGAGAACTGGAGTCCAGCTCTGCAGTTTTCTTCTTCTTCTTCTTCTCCTTCTTCTTCAGACACTTGAAAATGGGTTGGTGGGGAATAAAAGCGGCGGATGATTTATTGGCGATACCTGTTCCCTGCCCGTGGCAGAGATGGGCTGGGAGGTCCCTTCCAGCCCAAACCAGCCCGCGAGCCTCTCGCAGAAAGACACTTTTCTTGGGAAAGAATCACACAAAGGATGTGCTCGCACTGCGACCGCAATCCCCCCTTCCCCCTGACGGCCCTTCTGTCGCGATAGCTGCCGCACTATCGCGATCCGGGGCCGTGTGCGCGGTACCGGGGACAGGTAACGAGGGCGCCGGGGCTACCGGGGGGCCTGGGAGCTCCGCGCTGAGCGGGGGAGAGCCCGGCGAGGCGGGCTGGGAGCGACTGTCGCGACAGGCGGCGTGTGTCGCGACAGGGGGCGGGTCGGCACACCGGGGCTGCCTCAGCGGCCGGGGGGAGGGGACACCCGGGAAGGACAATGGTGGGGTGGGGGGGGTATGAACCGCGGCGGTCCCGCCGCGCTGTGAGTAGGGGGATGATGATGATGATGAGGAGGAGGTGACGGTGGGGCCGCGCCCTCGCTCCCGCCGTGCGCCGCACTTACTCTCGGTGCCCCTGCCCGGGCCTCATGGCGCCGCCGCCGCTGTGCCCGCCCGGCCCCGCCGCCGCCGCCGCCGCCGCCGCCCGCCCCGGCCGTGCTGGCTGCGCAGCCGCCCCCGCGCACGCGCGGCCCGCGCGCCGCCCGCCCCGCCCCGCGCACGCGCGGCCCCGCGGCCACGGGAGCGAGGGAGGGGAGGGGGGAATTGGGGGGGGCAGCGCCGCGTCGCCCCCTGCCGGTAACCGGGGGGACTGCAGGGAACAGCGGGGGCATTGGGGGACATCGGGGGAGACACACTGGGGGACATTATAGGGTATGAGGGAGGGACACGGCAGGAACACACTGGGGGACACTGGGGGGTATGAGGGAGGGACATGGCAGGGACACACTGGGGGACATAAAGGGGTATGAGGGGGGGGACACGGCGGGGACACACTGGGGGACATGGGGGGGACATTGGGGGGGGACACATTGGAGGACATGGCGGGACATTGGGGGGGACACAGGGAGGGACACACTGGGGGACATTGAGGAGTATGAGGGGGGACACAGGGAGGGACACACTGCGGGACATTATGGGGTATGACGGAAGAGACACGGCGGGGACACACTGGGGGACATGGGAGGATGTGAAGGGGACATGTGGAGAACAGGGAGGGACACAGTGGGGACATAGGGAGGACAGGGGGCCACGGCAGGGCCACAGGGAGGACATGAAGGAACACGGCAGGGAGGGGACAGGGGGATGCAGGTGGGTCAGGAAGGGGACACAGAGGTGGCTCTGCCACAGCTCCAGTGTTGCCCACACTGAGGTCTCGACAGACACCTTCCCCCACAGCTGGGGTCAGTCCTTGGGGAATTCTGTCCCCCACAGGGAAGTGAGGATTTGCACCCCTGCAATGGGCTTGCAATGGGATAATTAACCTAATTCTCAAAGCTCGTTAGGGAGCTGCAGGTCAGGAAGGTGACACTCACCCCTTGCCATGCCAAGAGCATTTCCACTGCCCCCACTGTTGCTGTGGGCACTCGGCTCCATCCCTGGAAGCAGCGTGGGATGGAGCTCTGGGGCAGCACAGGGTGACCCTGACACGCCACACAGAGGGGACAGCTTCCCCTTGTGCCCCATGCCATGAGACCCCTCCAACCCTGCCTGCCCAGCTCTTCCCCCCACAAGGTGCAACCTTCACAAGCCACAGCTCAGAAAACGGGATCTAAGCCCAGCTGGGAAGGAGGAATGACATCAAAGTGCCCTGGTTTGAGCTGGAATAAACCAGAGGGAAGGAAGGTGGTGGCTGTGAGGTCAGGCTGCCAGCGACAAATAAAGGAGAGAACAATCATTCTGCTGGGACCTCATTTTATTGCAAGGGAAATACAAAAGTTGGACAGCAGCATTGAAGGGAGCACAGCAGCCCCTGCTCCTGGGGAACAAGGACAGACACTCTGTGCAGGGTTCCCAACCCAGTTTTCAGTTATCTCACATTCCAGAGAGAATTCTTCAGCAGAAGAATCACTTCTTCTAACATCTCTTTCACAGTGCACCAGAGAGGGACAAGGGGCTGAGCAGGTTGGGGTTCCAGACCCGTCCCAATCTCTTCCCTGTTGGGATTTTCTTCCCTCAGGGATGTTAATTTAGAACTGGATTACCTGGATTTCTGGCAGGAAGGTATCCAGTGCTCCAAACACCTGACAAAGGGACAAAACAAGCCCCAAACACCAGGCCCAGGCACACACATGTGGTGCCAGGTGCTCTCTGTAACACCTGAGCTGCAGAACCTGCTGCTCTTCCCACTTTGGGGCTTTCTTTAGCTACAACAGTTGCTGTGTTTCTATCTGTGACCCTGGTGCAAAGAGTGAAGACTTGGAAGTAAGTGATAGAATAAACTACTCGAATTCCTAAAGAGTTCCATGCTGGTTCTGCTGGTTTTGCATGACAGATAAGCCAGTCAGGCATTACAGATGTTCCAGCTGCCAGCAAACCCTTAAAACCAACTCCCTGCACCCACCAGCTTCAGCAGGGCAGGGAGAAAAGTCAACACAAGACCATCAGCTGGGCTGGGGTGGCCTCATCCCCCTGTGTGACCACGATTCAGCCTTCAGAAGGGATTACAAACATGTGCTGATAATGCTTCACTGCCATCCTTTGTTTGCTCCAAGGCAGGAGATGCTCCTGAACTCCCATGTACAAACCCCTGAGAGCAAGAACATGAGACACAGCCCAAAAGAAGTGGGGGCAGCTCTGGGAATGCAGCACCAGAATCATGGGTGCAGCTGATTCTCCAGTGTCTGTCCCCAGGCCAGATGCCATAGGAAGTCTGGAGATTTTATTTCAGTTTGGGTTGTTCCCCCAAAGATTAATATATTCCACTTCAGCCCACGGTAGTAACTCCATCATCCTCTATTTCTGGATCCAACAAAGGTGCCAGAACACCCCCAGGACTGGTTTCTCCACATGATCAGAGAGTTCAAGGGCTGTTAACACACACCAAGAGCTCAACCCTTCACCTCCACCTTGAGCTTCAGGCGGACCTCACACAGGAAAGCGTTCATCAGGTCCTGGCCAGCCTCCTGAGCAATCCTGCTGATGACCTTTCCTCCTCTTCCAATCAACATCCTCTGTGTTAAAACCCAGAGAGAACATCACCAAACACACCCAGGACAACGGTGCAGTCACAGAAGCAATGAGGGAAATTCCAGCATTAAACCCTGAGGCAAAACAGCTGCCAGTACTGGGTACATGGCTCTCCTAAAAGAGAGGGGAGCACAGCAAGGATGGATTTGGGGAACCTCCCTTCACCCTCCCCAGCATCCCACCTTTCCTCCTTCACTCACCTTGTGAGACTCCCTGGGCACCAGGAGGCTCTGCACGATCAGGAGCTCCCCACATTCTCCTTCCTCCCACACATGTGTCACCTGGCACAGCAATGGAGCACTCAGCAATCCTGGAAAACCCTCAGGAGCCCCCAGCACCCCTCCCTTGGACACTCCAGCACACAAAGAGGGCTCCTTCACACACAGAAAGGGTCTTAGAGCACACCTACAAGTACTGAGTCACCCCACAGGGCCTGGCAGAATCCAAACAAAGGGATTCTCATCACACAGCCCAAAATTCCCAATAAAGCAGCTCATGGCTGAGTCTGCCTGGGCACACTCCCACCTGAGTCACTCCATAAGGCACTTCCAGGGGCAGGTACTCCAGGAGCTTCTCCCTGATGATGTTATCACAGATCTCCTGGGGTGACTGGCTGGTCAGGACGTCGCTGTGGAACTCCCAAGGGCCTGGCTTGGCTTGCATCAGGAGGTATCTCTGTGGGCACAGCACCCCAGTGTCACCCACACGGTGCCACCACCCCTGAGCTGCCCCTGCAGGGAGGGCACTGCTGCTGGCCTGGCACGGGGGCAGTGGTTTGGGGTTTTGGGCAGGGGCAGGAGGAAGGGAAGCTGTGACACCCCTCCCTAGGGCTGTGTGGGTCACACAGAAGCCCTGGAGCTCACAGACAGCACTGGGTGGATTCCTTGTTGTACCAAGCTGCTGTTGGGAGAGCCCCAGGTGAGAGTTTTGTACAGAAAACCCCGCAGGTGCAGCAGGGACACATCCCACGTGGACATGTGACATTTTCCCCTCATCCCATGCCAGGAACAGAAGCTGAGGCTCCCACCCCAGTCCCAGCTGTGACACAATTCAGACTGGAGTTACCTTGAGTGTATCCACCTCCTCCCCACGCAGAGCTGCCAGCATGAAGATCTCCTGGAAGTGTGGCCAGCCTTTCATGTCCTTCAGATCCCTGACTCCATGGTGCTGTGGCCCTTCCCCTGTGCCAGCACCCCCAGCATCACTGCTCCTGTCCAAACCAGAGCCCTCCTGGGCCTGATTCCTCTCCTGCCCACAGGGAGACCCTGGCACTTTGCTTTCAGCTGGAGAAGCCTGAGTGGGATGAAGGGGAAGCTTTACTGAAGAACGGGAATCCTGTTTAGGTGAAGATTTCACTTCCAGTTTCCTTCCATTTACAATCCCCTCTGTCAGGTCAGTTGCTATTTCCAGCAGGAGAAATTTCTTCTTTAGTACATCCACCTGAAGCCAGAGAGAGAGAAAATTATTTATCCTAAAGAGAAAATTATTTATCTTAAAGAAGATTTATCCTAAATGAGGTGGGCAGCTGTGCCCTGGGTCTGAAGGAGCCACAGGAAACCAGCCAGGGAAGCAGCTGCTGCAGGACAGGGCAGTTTTGTGACCAGACAGAGGCCAAAACTGGCACAGTTTTGTGCCAGCACAGTTTGCCCAAGCACTGAGAACCTGAGATTTCCCTGGCTCACCTGGCTCCTCTTCCCAGATAGATTTAACCCCCAGACAGCACCACAAAATCAGGGATGATTCTGCTTTTAATGGGTACACACACCCCTCGATATTCTGGAGGGTCCTTTAACACACCAGGGACCCAAAACCCATCAGTGCTGAGCCAGGTGGTGCCTGAAGAAGAACAAGCAGGGTTTACCTTGTTCAGGACCAGCACACTGGGGATGTGGGGGAACTGAGACAGGCACCTGAGCACCTCCTTGCTCAGAGAGTTCCTTGTCCAGTGATCTGACACATCCACCAGAACCAGGACTGCCAGGAAAGAGGGAGGGAAAAAGGATGAATCCACATTTTCCAGAATGTTCACTTGCAGCTTTACAGTCTGTGGTCACTCCCCTCCGCATGAGGGGCACAAAAAGAAGGATTTTATTGAAAACACTAAAAATGCAGCTTACCCATGTCACCCTAATGACATCACACGTGCTAAATCTCAACATCCAAGCCCAATTATGAACCCAAAGTGCCTCCCCTTGGCACCAGGCAGTTCTTATCCCCTCCTCAGCTCAATATTCCAGATCTTTTCTCTGCCCCTTCTTCCCTGTTCACACTCCCTGTGCTGCCAGCAAACACCCAGACACCACAGCTGGGAACCTGTGTGCCAAAAAAGGATTTGGTTTGATGCAAAAATAGTTGAAAACCCACCTAAATCTGCATGTTTCATGCTGTCCCATGGGTCTGTCAGCATGCCTTCATCTAAATTATGCCTGAAACACAAATACAAATGAATAAACTAAACACACTTCATTATAATTGTGTTCCTCCCTCTCAAACTAGGGGGAAACCAGTGTTTTCCCTCATTCCAGCTGCTTTAGGGGTTGTGACATCCCTTGTCATGTGCAGATACACAGAACAACACTCAAAAAGGCTCAAGGGACATCACAGGCTCTGTGTGCTACTGAAATTGCAGCAAAAAAATATTGGAAAGCAAAATAAGGCTGAAATATGCATTCGGCTCACTTCTGTTTTACAAACTTTGCACACTGAAAATCACATTCCTGTTTTATCTTGCTAGGCAGCACACACCCCCTCTCCAGCTCATTGGTGGTACCTTTTGGCTTTTAGGGGATTTGTGAGGCCAGGTGTGTCCAGAATGATCTAGAAAAAGGAAAAACAAACATTTCAAGTTTGCCAGCAGTGAGAGCTCAGGGCAAAACCCCCTCTTTGTGCAGTGAGAGGTGATCCCAAGGGACACAGACGAGCAAATGCTGCCCTTGGTCCCCAGGACTCACCAGCTGTGTGTCCTCGTGTGTGATGACACCCCGGGCCTTGCAGCGGGTGGTGTGCACCTTCTTGGAGACTGGGAAAACCTGCAGGGGATTAATTAAACATGTTATACAGCCAAAAAAGCAGGAAACAGCCTGAGCTGCCCCCCAGCCTCACCTTCCTGCCCAGGAGCTGGTTGCAGAGTGTGGATTTCCCGGCGTTGGGGGCGCCGATGATGGCGATCCTCAGCACCTTGGGCTGCGGGGGCTGGTCCGGCCGGTGCTCCAGGAGGCGTTTCTGCTCCTCTGCCGGGGAAAGAAGGAGCTCGGATGGTGCCAAACCCTCGGGGGGTCAGGATACAGGATAGCCCTGGGGCGGGGCGGCAGCTGCCATCACCCACCTTTGTCACCACTCACCTTTGTCGGTGGCCACGGGCGGCGGGTGCTGGCCCAGAGCGGCGGGCGGGGCCTCGGCCGGGATGCCCAGGAGGCTGCCCAGGGCCGAGCTGCTCCCGTTCCAGCGGCTGGGAACACTCGGGATCCCGCCCAGCACCGAGCTGCTCCTGCTGCACCGGCTGGGAACGCTCAGGATCCCGCCCAGCACTGAGCTGCTCCCGTTCCTGCGGCTGGGAACACTCAGGATCCTCCCCAGCGCCGAGCCGCTCCCGTTCCAGCAGCTCCCCGGGAGGCGAGCTGGAAGAAAACACCGAATGTACCAAGAACATCCCTAAAACACACCAAGCTCGCGTGGGCCTCCCCCTTCCATACGCAGCGTCCAGGCAGCGCCCACCCCACCACAAGGCCTTTAGGCGTCCCGCCCGCCACCTCCCGGACCCAGTCGTCCCCGGAGTACTCCCGCGGTCCCGGCGCACCTGCTCGCAGCCGGAGCGGCCCCGCCACAGCGGCACCGACGGCCCACAGCGCGGCCGCGGCCATGGGAGCCGCCATTTTGGCGCGCCGCGGGGCACGCCGGGAAGGCAAGCGGTGCCCGCGCCCATTGGCGAACAGCGCGGGGACACAGAGAGCGCGTGAGCGGGGCCAGAGCGCCGCGGGGCCGCGGGGAATTGTGGGATGGAAACGGCCGAGAGCCGGCGGGGCGGGGCCGAGGGAGCGCCCCCTGCTGGCGGCACCGCGGGGTGCAGGGGGCGGCACCGCGGGGTCACAGAGTAACCGGGGTCACCAGTGTCCCCCCAGTGTCACCAGCGCTCCCTCAGTGTCACCGGTGTCACCAGTGTCACCAGCGCTCCCGATGTCACCGGTGTCAGCGGGGTCACCAGTGCCCCCCCCAGTGTCATCAACGCTCCTGATGCCACCAGTGTCACCAGTGCTCCCCCAGTGTCACCAGTGGTCCCTCAGTGTCACCAGAGCTCCTGGTGTCGCCGGTGTCACCAGTGTCCCTACTGTGCCCTCAGTGTCCCCCAGTGTCACCAGTGTCACCAATGCCCCCCCAGTATCACCAGCTCTCCCCGTGTCACTGGTGTCACCAGTGCCCCACCAGTGTCTCCCCCTTGCTCTCCCAGTGTCACCAGCGGCCTCCCAGTGTCACCAGAGCTCACAGTGTCACCAGTGCCACTAGCGCCCCCCCAGAGCTTCCAGTGTCACCAGTGTCACCAGTGCCCCTGGTGCTCCCAGTGGCCCCAGTGCCCAGTTCCACCAGGCCCGGAGCCCGAAGGGGATGTGGTGACGAAGGAGAGTGGAGCCACAGTTCTGTAACTCAAATCTTTATTGTCCTGCAGCCGTACCCAGGGCTCCATTACTGTGTCCTTACCATCCCATCTTATGCCATTTCCATCCCGTGCCATCCCGTGCCATCCCATGCCTTCCTGTGCCGTGCCGTGCCGTGCCGTGTGTCCGGCCGTCAGCAGAACCGTTACCATTACTAAACTCAGTAATGGTAACGGTTTCCCCGCCGGCCGTGGGTGCCCGGCTGAGTCCGGATCCTGTCCCCCCCAGCCCGCGATGTCCCCCCAGCCCGTGTGGCTCATCCCGGTGTCCCGGCGGTGGTGGCGGTGGCGGGAGGCGGTCGGTGCAGCCCGGGGAGTACATCATCTATACTGTAGTGTCTCATAGCCAACTTACAGTATACGATGATATCCTGCCCGGGACAGCGTGGGGAGCAGAGCAGAGCCTGCAGGGACACACAGCGTGCTCAGGGAGTTCATTGTCACCCCGGTGTCACCCTCACCCATTCCTGTCACCCCGGTCCTGTCCCAGCACCTCCCCACCTGCTCCTCATCCCTCCCAGTTCCACCATCCCAGAGTAACACAGAGGTTCTCAGTGCTTCCCTGCCCAGGTGCCCCCCCAATCCCTCCTTGTCCCCCCATTCCCACCACCCTGGAGAGGAGCAGAGGTTCCCAAATGTCCCCTCACCCCAAGACCCCCATAACCCATCTTTGTCCCCCAGTTCTGCTCCCCAGAGTGGGATTGAGGGCTCCCAATTTCCTCCCCACCAGAGCACCCCCTAACCCCTCCTTTTATCCCATAACCCCACCCCAGAGCAGGACAGAAGTTCCCAAACCCCACATTTGTGTCCCCAATCCCACCCTCCCTGAGCAGGACAGAAGTTCCCAAACCCCACATTTGTGTCCCCAATCCCACCCTCCCTGAGCAGGACAGGGGTTCCCAAACCCCCCAATCCCACCCTCCCTGAGCAGGACAGAAGTTCCCAAACCCCACATTTGTGTCCCCCCAGTCCCACCCTCCCTGAGCCGGACAGGGGCTCCCAGGTGGTGGCACCTACCTGTGGGGTGGCACTGGGGCTTTGTGGGGTGCTGGGTCTGCACCCGCCTTATAAAACCTGCTCTGCCTCATCTGCATATCTCACATCTGCACTGCACAGCTGGATGGGGCCCTTAACCCCTTCATGCCCGGGGGGGCACCGCCCCGAGCAGCTCCCCCCACCCAGCCTGGCATTGTCCATGGGGGGATTTGGGGCTTGCAAGGGGCCACCCCCTGTGCTTCCACTTCAGGGTGGCCCCACAAATGCCCCATCCTCCTGTGGCCACCAGGATTATCCATTCCCATAGTTCTGGGGACATTGAACTGGGAGCTCCCCACTGCAAACTGGTTCCCAGCTGCTGGACAGTGGTGTAGGACAGGGTGGGGTGGCAGCTCGCGGGAATGGGGACCAGGAGGGACATCTGGGGGACATAGGGGCATCTGGGAATGGGGGTCACCCTACCCAGGCACCCTCAGGTGGGGTACAGGGTACACGTGGTGCAGGCAGCCTGTGTCCCCTGTGGTGGGTGCCCTCTGTAGTGCCACATTTGCTCCCCTGAGGGACATGACCCCTAGCAGTGTGTCCCCATAAAGAGGATTTGCCCTCCTGCCTTTGGGGACACCCTGGAAGCACATTCCCCCTCCCAGGGGGATGTGACCCTTGGAGGGATGTCTCCCCCAGTTAGGGAGACACCTCCCCTGGCCATCTGTGTCCCCTGGAGGGATGCAACCCGCAGCTGTGTCCCCCCAAGGGCCCCTCCTGACCACGTGTGTCCCCAAGAGGGCTGTGTCCCCTCATTGCACATGACCCTGGTCACACTTGTCCCCTGACCACGCGTGTCCCCAAACGACTCCACCCCTGACCATGAGTGTCACCTGCCTGTGCATGACCCTGGTCATTTGTGTCCCTCAGCCCTGTCTGTCCCCACAGGGCCACATCCCGCAGCCGGGGCTGTGCCATTGTGCCGGGCTGTTTGTGCCAGGCCGGGCTGGCATTCCTGGAACTCGCCTGGGGGGAGGTGATAATGACAATCCCCTGCCTGTGCTCCGGGTCCCGATAAGCAGCAGCCTCGGGCTATCAGGGACCCTGCCCTGCCACACAAGGTGTCCCTGGACCCTCTGTCACCTCTGGGTGACAGGAACAGGGGCAGCACGGCCTGGGCAGCCCCTGGCAGGAGGGGGCACAGGGTCCAGCCCTGCTCTGAGCCTGTCCCAGGCCGTGAGGCTGTGGGGACTTGGGGGCTGCAAGGGACTTTCTGGTTTGGTCCCTTTTGTGACCCAGAGGAGTCCTGGAGCCTGCAGTGTCCCCAGACTGTGGCACAGGCACCCAGCGTGCAGAGCAGTGACACAGGCGGTGTCCCTGAGTCCCCCAAGCCCTGTCAACTCCAGGTGAGTCCCAGGGATTGTCCCCATGCTGGCAGTGCCTGCCATCCCTGCTGCCTGCTCAGCACCCGAGGGCAGCCCTACCCCATGGCCTTGTACCCCACAGTGGCAGAGGGGACCTGAGTGTCCCCACAGCTGGTGTGGGAGCCCCAGATGCCACAGAGACCCCCAAGTGCCAGAGCCCTCCCAGCAGCCATGGCAGGACAGCGTGGCTGGCCCCAGATAAGGAGGCACTGGGAGCTGCAGAGCTGTCCCCACCCTGTCTATCTGCAGGGCCACCCTGCAGGACACAGAGGACAGGGCCTGTTGTGCTGCCCTGGGTTTGGGAGGGTCTGGAGAGCACAAATAACCCATTTTCCCCAGGGAGGGCAGTGCAGCAAAGCCCCCCGTGCTGGCTGTCACTGGTCCTGCTTGCAGGGTGACCCTGAGCAGGACAGGAGCCCCCAGAGCCACCCTGCTGTCCCCCAGGGCAGGGAAGGGCAGGTGGGGCTGGGACAGGGCTCTGTGGCAGGGCAGGGGGACATGAGCTGCTGCCACCAGCCTGGCTGCTGTGACACCTTCAGCACCTGTCAGCCCTTCTCCAGACCCGGGGTGCCACTTTTTGGGGTGCCCCTGCCATGGTCACCCCCTGGGTCACACGGGCCATGCTTGGGGCTCACTCCTGGCTCCACACTCACCCCTGGGGGAGCACGACAAGGGCTGGGACGGTGACCATGGGGAAGCCACCAGCTCCTAGGAGCCTCGGAGCAGCAGCCGGAGCTGGAACCTCACCTCCTGCACTCCTTGTCCTCCCATCTCCGTGGGAGCACCAAGCAGCCCAAGCCACGCAGGGGACCCGGGGCGGGACAGACAGACAGACAGAGCCCAGCAGGAGGTGACAAGGGTTTATTCAAGGGTTTGTTTGTTATCTCACGGCAGCGGGGTGGCGGCACATGCAGATAGAGCCCGGCCCGGCCCGGCCCGCCTGCCCTCCCGGGGGCTGATAACGGCACGGGGGGCACGGGGGGCCCCGCAGCACCCGCCGAGGGTCAGTCCTGGCAAAGGACAGCACCGGGAGGGACCTGCAGCCGCTCTGTGGCACGGGGTGGGGACACGGGGTGCAGGACACCCAGAGCCCCGCTGCCAGCAGTGCCAGGCTGAGTGCACACACTGAGCTGTGCCAGCCACGCTGAACCAGGCACTGGGACAGGCTGGGGAGGGCACGGGCCAGCACAGGGCTCTGGGGGCACACACAGGGACAATCTCCTTCACATTGTCACAAGGCAGCAAAGCCACTGGCCTAAGAGTCAGGGGAGGGAGGGAGGGAGGCAGGGGCAGCTGCACAGGCTGTGCTGGAGGAGCCTGTCCCCACCCCAGTGTCCTGCTGGTCCCACACCCACCTCTGAGCACCACTCTGCTTGAGCAGTTGTGGGGTTGGGAAGTGCCACAGCACCTGGGGACAGCAGGCACAGTGGCTTCACTGCCCTCTCAGGGGATGGGTGGCTTTGGCACAGCGCTGCTTTTTGGTATTCGTGGTGGTGAGATCTCACCAGGGCTGAGCTGGGCTCCCTCTGTCCCCTGGAGCTCTCCCTGCTTCAGATCCTGTGAGGAAAACTCCCCAAGCATGGGAGAGGGCAGCACCCACTGCTAGTGCTGACTGTCACCTTCCTTGGGGGGTTGAGTGCCACCCAGCCAGCCTGGGCAGGGCTGCTGGCACTGTGGGGACCCTGGGGGTGAGACAGGGACAGCTGTGGGCAGAGGCAGGGCTGGGACAGGGCCCAGGAGGGTCACTGAGACAGGGCAGGGAGCCCAGGGGAGGGGGGTCCTGGTTCTCTTCCTAAACCTCCCCATCCCAACCCTCTGCTCC